GAATTGATGTGCAATGTATTTTGAAATCCCACTATACATAATGTCAGGAGAAAATTAAAGCCATTTTGAGAAATTTATTTTTTTACGTTTCTTTCCGGAAGTACTCTTAATTTCAAAACTTTCTGAGTGACATTTTGCTGATTATCTCAATACGCAACTTTGCTCCTATTTAAGCGACTTGGTATCCTTAAAGTTTCCGAGATCCCAATGGTGAGGGACGAATTTAAAATACCCTGTATAGGGAAAATATTATTTTCACCCCAGCAGAAACAGTCGGCCACTCCCTCTCCGTGGGCACCCGTGAAAAAAGCAGCATAACAAAATCTACAGAATTCGTAATTTTTTTTTATCTGCTTTGGGCTGGACTTACATAGCTAGAATATATAGTAAATACTGTTTGTGCATACTTTTCGAGGCTGTGCGACAAGGGAACAAAGACAATACTATCTCAGTTTTATTAAAAGTCATTCACACTACTTTGTACATTTCTCATGCATAATCACTGCAGACGTTTATTCAGAATTCTTACTACGTATTTACTTCTTCAACTTGTCATTTGATGTGAGGAATCATATTCCTTCGAATTTATGTTTATACTTTTTATATGAGAATTGAATGGGAATTACTGAGTAAATCTACTTGACATTTTTGGGTGCTGTTATTTTTTCTAGGAAGTGTCCTGTTTTCCTCCCTAGAGGAATATTCGGGCACATTCGGAATTGGACGAGAAATTCTAGATCAATCTGGTTTACAGCAAACGAACATACTCCAACGTTTCCAAAATTGTCTACTTCATTCTGAAACATTTTTCATTCGAATAATTATTGTACTCTGACAATTTACTGGAAAATCATCTTCTGACTAATTTGACAGTCAGGAGTTTCTGTACGACCAGCGGATTACTTGTCGGTAATCGGTCTTACCTTTCTCAGCCAACTCGTAACGTTCTCATGTACGCAATCAATAGGGTCAGCGACGTGCCAGTGACAGCCAACTGCGTAAATTAGGTCGTGACTTGTCGCCGACTATCAGTTTACTGATTGTCAGCAAACAGGCTGTACGAACAAACCACTGATCTACGTGAATTCAAGACAATCGGTACATATCTTACATCAGTGCTTTCAACATTTATATTGAACCTGCCACATATTTTATACAACTCCAATAATGCGCAGAATTATAAAAATTACCATAATATAGGTCAGTGACTTTTCAGTCTACATTAGTAACGATGGTATTATGTATTAATAATAATTAATTATATCATGGATATTTGGAATTACTTTTAAAGCCTTAGGAACGTTTATAATTATCATGTATATACAAAGAGAAACATTTCCACTAATGACGATATTTTTATTGTATTCAGTTATCCCACAAGTTAGGTAGGTATTACCGAATGATCCAGCTTTGAATTAGTGGTTAATCATTTATTCAAAGAATTTTTACTAATGCCGATTTTATTATGCGTGATGGTGTTTGGATTCATCCAGAAAACTTGGAATTACCACGTGCTTTGAAAGTCCGAATCGGATATGATGGAAAAATCAGCTACCTCAAGGTGTGTCGACTGATGTGCGTGATTGACACCTGGCTGCCCCCTCCTACCTCATTAGCGATGCCTCTGCTTCATCGCGTACAGAAATAAGACTTTTGTAAGTTATTACTGACGCTTTTCAACGACAAACGGGATTTACAAATGACATCACAGACAATGCTTTCCAAAAAGGTCCCCCTCCATACTCATTTTTTCAAGTAGTCAAGGTGCCAAGCTGAAATTCGGGATAATGAAATATTATAGCGTAAAAGTTGCAGTCGAAAATTTGAAAATGGTATCTGGGCGCCATTTTGGAACATTCTCTTGAATAGGATCGGGAGTCGTGCGAATCGAGGCGAAAGTCGGGTATATTGTACCGTTTTTTAACTTTTACTACCTCACTGTTTCCTGATCTAACCCGCACGGGTATCACGTATCTTGAAAAGTGACATTATGCCGATTTTTTTTTGACATTATGCTGTTTTTTGACATTATGTAGGTTTTTCGCCAAGACGTTGACTTAGCATTTAGTTGTACGTGTTGCCTAAACGTCATGAGGCTTGTTATCAATCTTTGGCTCTGATGTGACGTAAAATCTGCTTCTGAGATGGCATTACTGGAGGTCTAAGCTGTAAGTTGTACCTATGTGTTGATGATAACTAAATTGGGTTCTTGTCTCAAATACACTTAATTGAGATTCAAAGCTAGAAATTAGTTGCGCATCCACTTTTTCTTATCCATTCTGGAAATTACATACCGCTCATTGAATGCAGAACTAGCTCAAGTCACAAAATCACAGGAGATCATTTTTTCTGATTTTGTCTTAAACTCCTTGCAAGTCTTGAATGAAAATGTATTCGTAATATGAGTATACTTGCATGTGTTATGTGTTTTGCTCTTTTAAGGTTTTTTTTATTTAGGCTTACAAAGCCGAAATTTGTGGACTTAGGATACTCGTCCTCGTGGAAGTTGTATCCTATGTCCACATAGGATAAGGTGTAGTCGTAATATAAGTAACATAGGGTAGTTCTGACCCATGTTTGTATCTATATATGTACATTCAGCTTATTCAGTACAAAAATAGAAACGGGAATACGTTGAAAACATTTATTGACAACTAAGCAGTCTTATTATACAGGTACATAATATTATAATTAACTAGCAAAACATAAACGAGGCATTCAGGCAAACGATGAACAGTGCTCAAAATAATAACAGGAAACAAAAATTATAATTCAGTATCCCCACCAGATCAGCTATTGCTACTTGATATATAAATAAGTGGTAGTATTAAGAAACTTTTTGTAACAGAAAAATGATGAACTTCTATTCTGAGTCGTCATCCCTACTTATGTTGGAATACTGTAAGTTCTTGTAGAAACTGCGGTACCGAGTAGGTATAATCCCCTTGTCACATAGGACTTGCAGATGATCATACTTTTTTTTGCTGATCGGGATAGCACCCTTGTAACATTGCTTTAACTGTATATTTTTTAGATCAACATCAATTGTCCTCCTGCCTTTTGTTAATAAATCAATTGTTCTGAACAGTTCATTGTAGTCGTATTTGAATACAATTTTATTTGGAAATCTGAAGGTTGCCTCTAAAATTCGTATTTTATTTATAGAAACCTTCTCATTTTCCACATCACGATCCCAATTCAAAATGGTATCCTTTGCAAGCGCTTTCAAATCGAAAAAATCCTCTTTGTCCATCTCAGTTACTACATACGGTTTACTTCTTATTGCCGTGCGTACTAAAGTATACCATTGATCAGTGGTAAATAAAGGGATAAGCTTAGATGTTCGTTCAATTAGACTATGCATAGAATCCTCTTCGGTTTGCGTATGACCTTTCTCCAAAAATGTATGCCTTATCACAATATTGTGCTTCTGTGCTAAATTCTGTACTAAAAATATATTTGTTTCGATTTTGACCTGCACAATTGTCGGAATAGAAAGAAAATTCTCTCGTACCTTCATGTACTTTGAGGTCGATAAAGCGCATCAAACAGCTGCCTATTTCTGAGCTTCCCCTTTTCCCAACAGACTCGTACCACATGTAACAATCTCCTTCAGAATTTGCCAAGTTAAAAATCGTGAAATTGTATGATGATAATTTAAGTTTGTAATATGCCATACCAACATTACTTTTGGGGAGAGGCAGTATTTGTTTCAAATCAAAAACGGCTGCACAAAATTCTCTATTTTGCTTAGCCGTTTGTTTATCAGCATTCTTTAAATCCCGCCCAATGTCCTTGTTCTTTCTGTGCAACTGGTATTCTTCTTCCATTTCAGTTCTTTCTTCTGTTGTTCCGCCATCATACTTGTTGCAAATATCACACAAATCTTTTTTAGGGATGAAAAATGAGAAGTTGAATTCGGTGTTGAAGATTATTCTGTAAATGCTTTCTGTCGCAGGTTGGATGTTGTTCTGCTCACAATATTCAAGATAAAGGCCATACATCTTCGAAATATTAAGCGTTGGTGGCAGAAATTGCTTTGAAGTGTTTTTTCGGCACTCTCGACTGTTTCGAATAGATTAATGTGGTCCCTCACTGACTGCTTTATTGAATCACTCAATTTAGAATTCTTGCATGTCGATTGCACGCCGATCTGCCCCGACTGTAACGATGCTACCCATTTTTTTGAACACTGTCTTAATGCCTGGGCGCTTATCCCTAAAATATTCATAAAAAAAGTTTTACAGACCGCTATTTTCTGTCCACGATTTAAAAATGTATACTTAAAGGAAAACGCCTTTTTTCTTCCTGTTGTGTTTTCTGTATCTTCGTTACTACTGTTCCCATCCTGCTTTCTCAACCGTGTTCTTTTCTTGTCCATTATATCTACATACTGGGCAATAAAATCCCGTTGTCTATTGACGTCCCCCAGTTGCCAATATCTCTCAAATATCTGTTTCCTCTCTTCTTCTGTGAACTTTTCGCTGCACTTTTGTCTGCAGTTAGTACAAGGAGGTTTTGGTTGCCTTTTTGAACGAAGGTTTCCTCTCCAGTCCATATACTTCTCGCCAAGATTTCGCAGCTTCTTTATTTCATTTCTTCTCCATTCATCCGGATTCCTCTGTCTCTTCCGTGTATTTTTCTTGGTTTTCATCGGCTCATTTTTATCATCATGTTCTGATGAGTTTTCGATATCATCTGGATCTCTACTGTGAGTTGAGTTTTTCCTTAATGTTGGTATATAGTCCAAGTCATTGCTATCATCACTGGTGGCAAACGGGTCACTCTCACATTCAGAAAGCATAAAATCATCCTCTATAGTATGATCTTAAGGATTTCATTGGATGGAAATTCCTCAATGGTTACAGAGTTCTTTTGTAGGATGCAAGTTGAACTTTCCCAAGGCATCAAAAAAAGAGGAGGCTGTTGGGTGATCAGCTTGGTTGTTCGAAGTTGTTGATCCCCCATCATCTTCTTGTACATATTCTAGAATCAAATTGGACTTTGTAAATTAACAGAAAGGCAACACGAACGAATGTGGGAAAATTTTTGAGATCCACCTACAGAAAATAATAGTGGGGTTAATAATTGTTTAGCTATAACCCTATAACCCAATCAGTTTTCCCTTCTTATTCCTCTTCGAGTGACCCTCAAATCGTCTTTTGTAGATTATACCTTTATAGTTTATACAGTATCGAAGTCTAATGTCACTTACCTTCTGTAATAGCCTCTCCAATTTTTTGTTTGGCACTCGGAGTAAACGATGTAGATGAGCTCCTTTCTCTTGATATTGTATGCCTACAAATCATACCCATACATAATTCGGAAATTATTAAAACTTAATTTATTGTCTCACCAGCCTTCGGGGTGCCTTCTGATTTTTTCGGGACCACCAATTGTATCATTTTTAGAGTTCTAGAATTCATTGTGACCGCGATATACAAAATATCGCTACTTTTAAGGATGTTACCGTATTGCAGAAGTATTCTATGTCCACAGATACTATGTACTTGGTATACAAATTCTAATACAGAACTAGCACATACTTAGCATACGCAACCGCCAAGGGATTCTTCTGCACTGAATCTCGGAACGCGTCGCAAGTTGGGATATTTGCATAATAGACGCGGTAGAGGGGTTAACGTGTTGATATTATAGGCTAGTTCTGCACCCAAATCCAGCATGCGCCGTAGCATCCCATGGTGTTGTTAATGCACGTTCGGCAAAAATGGACTTGGGCTAGTTCTGCATTCAATGAGCGTAATACTTTGCTGAATTTCAAAAATGAGACAGATAAGAAATTATTATATTCACTGTACACGGTCGAATTACAAGCCATATACATGCTAATAGTAATTACACACAACGCGGGCGCGGTGATGATTTCTCGTAATTCTCCTCAGTTTTTCGTAATTTATAACTTTGAACATAACCACTCTTTAGAAAGCACAACATAAAAATAACCCGACGGGAACAGCCAATAGATATACTTCATTGGCAGCATATTCAGTAATGATTTTCTCACAAAGCAAATATCACTTATTTTATAAACATGCAGACCAATACACATAATCATCCAGATGCGATCTTGCTATTCAACCATCTTTCTTCTCAAATGTAAAAACTATAGACAAGGACCATTTGGCCTCACAAAACATATGCAACCAATAATGCATGTAGTTTAGTTGAGTGATTGCTCCTTAGATGGACGTGCACAACGTTCCTAGTGAGCAAACGTGGAATGACTGTTTGCGCCCTAAAAACTACCTAGTTTGCAAGACGACGTCTTGTAGGTTTTTTTTGACGTTTTATAGGTTTTCAACATGATACCCATGCGGAATATTAAGCTTTAGCAACTACCACTGGTTACAAATATTTGTCAGATACCTACGTTTAGCCCAGCCACCATCTTGAAATTTTCAACTGCCGCTTCACGCTAAAATAGTGTCTTCGTTTATTAATTTGATTACCCCGGAATTTAGCTTACTTAGTTGAACCTTCAACAAGTAAGTAGGGGGATCTTTTTAAAAAGCGTTATGTGGTTATATTTAGCTGATAAAACCATGTCGTGTTTTTCTCTGGTTAAGTATTTTACTAGCACTTCCATTTTATTTGCTGTTGAAAAGCATAATTAACAACTTACCGAAGTCTTATTACAGAGCGCGATGAAGCAAGGATATGGCCAAAAGGGGCAAAGGGGACGGCTGTCTCCCCTAGAGAATCTAAAAAAAATGTAAGCAAATTCAAATCAACCAATGCCCGAAGCCTTTGTTGACTATGACTATTTTATTAGTTTGGTAATTTTTAAATAATAAGTACACTCATTTATCATGGACAAACCATTCCTAATAAATATATTGATAACAATAACCCATAACTATGGAACAAATTCGTCGTGCCTTGATAGTTGCTAAGAATTTTACAGTACAAGCGAAACCTTTCGATGTCAAGGATTGACTATCGTAAAGAACGGCGTCTGTTGGAATGCCTTGCGGTACATGATCAAATAGTCAGACAAACCGAACAACTGATACCACTCTCTAGGAGTAGATTTACAAACCCGTCGGATGAAACCAAAGTTCTGACAGAGTTGGTATCATTCAGAAGAGGGGTCTTCCAAGGGGACTGCTACCCTGCTCTTCTGTATCTCACTGCTCCCGTTGTCAGTTGCGTTGAGAAATGTGAGAGTATAGGCATGCCCAGCAACCAGAGGCACAAGATCACCCACCTCTTTTATAAGGATGACCTAAAACTTTGCGCCTCTAGACAACGCAGTCGCTCAGGGTAGTGCAGGAGTATAATCGTGCTGTTGGTATGGAATTCAGAATAGATAGAGGGCTACGGTTCATCTCAAAAAGGAGCGATACGATGATAGCGAGGAGGGGGGGGGGGCAGCATATGCAGGAGGTTAGCGTGGTCGAAGAGTGTTTCCGCCGCAAGTACCTGCATCGACTCAGGCAGATTTGGTCATCAGAGCTGTCTGGTAAGAAATAAATCGCTGCGTCAAATATGCTTGCGGTCCCATTGTTATTGTACCCCTTTGGGGGAGCCACGACAACTAGACATAAAACCCAAAAAAGGATGAACATGCACAAAAGTTTGCATTCTAAGTCCTCAGTTGCACGTATATACCTTCCAAGATCCCAGCCAGCACGGCATCGTGGAATCGACGTAGATATTTGGTGATTTTGGTCGAAGTGTAAATTTAGAGAAAATTCTACGTTTATTCGACGTCAGTTATGGATCAAATTTCGCTTAAGTTTGTCCGATGTAACCACACCATGTCGATAAAACGTCAATATTACGACGTGTGTACACCTCTATAAAAAATTTCCACTGCCGCGAGTAAAACCCGGTTATGTTGCAGTCACTTAACCGATTAATTAACGTAAACGTATTAGTTTGTTATAATTTCCTCCTGTATTCTTATAATATAATCGATAAAGCGTGGAAATCCGGTGTAGCACGTCACTAGTCGAGGAGGGACATTTTATCCACGTGAAACAGTGACCGCAAATACATCTGTACCTGTGTTGGTTATTTATCCACGTGGAAAATACGTGGATGTGACGTGGCATTTTATCATACATTTAAATTGTAATCTTCCAAATAGAGAATGTCCGAATGATGATGATAAGTGTTTGGGTGATGTAATTTATTTGTAGATAACATCCTGGTGTCATAAATATAAAAGCGCATATCAACCTAAAATGCTTTGCGAGCTTTGTTATAAATAATAATGCCGTGTAAACATATGTATTAGTCATTATTAAGTTAAAATCATTGACCACCTTAGTGAAATAATAAAATATGTAAGTGTGATTGAGAATTAATTATAATAGCGATGTTTCCCCATTTCATAAATTTTAAATATCGCGCCTTGATAGGGGAAGCGAGAAATGATAAAGGGCACCATAGCTGCATTGCCAGATTGCAGAATTTTCATCACAATCACCGGTATTAGCTCCCAAGATTTTTACATACTTATATTTCAGATTTGGAAAGCTACACATTGTTCTCTTGTTATGGTTACTTTTGTAATGATGCAATTTTTTGCGTCTATATAATTCTTTTGGCTGAAGCTGATCTTTCCTTTTTTCATAGCTATACTATTAACAATTTCCTAGAGTTCATAAATGGTTGTTTTCTGGTTGAGTCTAATACATTTTCTGTGGAATTTTATATAAAGTACATTAAGCTTCTCCAACTCGATAACATTTGGAAACATTGAACAAGCAGCATTAGGCAACCATGTTTTTGAACAGACATCCGATCCAATCAAAGCCATTCCCACGCTCCCCATCAAGAACCTCATGTTGTTTCTCACGTCGCATTCTCCATCCTGCATGAATTTTGCATTTTGCGAAATGTGCACGTATCTTTATCTTCCTGTAAATTCTAAAGTTTAAGTGTGTTGGCAAAAGCCATACTGTGTTCCTGCTCATCGTTTAATCAAGAACAGCGTCGTGACATATCTATGCCTTTGTATGAGCCATAGGCATAGGAATAGAATTTTCAGATGAAATTGGTGGTGGTGCTGGGGGCGATATTGCCTTAGAGCATGAAAAGTGGCTGACGTCGAGAAGAAACGGGTGTAGTGACCATCATATAAACAGCAAGTACGAGCAAGTGCCGTATAAGCAGTACGATATCGGAATAGTGTTTTTTGAGGACGGTAGGTATATTCTTCAAACTTTACCTATAATTAAGGGCCGTATCGCTATCGTCAGCCATCCCAACAATTATTGTAGAACGCCTTTATGGCCTCCTTGATTTTCACAGTTTTCTACTGTTCCGTTTTACCGCTCGATTTTCAGGTTATGTTACAAATATCTATTCGCATCAAAATGTTCATACTTTTGATTTATATCTATTTTATCAGCCTGAAATTTCCTACGATTCAAGAAGAAAACATAACTTCACAACCCCAACCAAGAGGAGAAAATACTATGAAAATCAAGGAGGCCATAAAGCCATCCTTCAATTGTAAGAATGACTGACAATACGGCCCTGAAATGTATTTAATTACTTCAAGTCTCTCTATGTCAGTCATCAAGGAACAGCATAAATTCAATTTGAATATTTTGCAAATAATGCAGCTGTTAATTAAACTTTTTTATTACAATGTGAGTCTGTTCAGCGAAAGTAAAGCTGAACTGCATTTTTATACTGAATAGCAGTAGCCATGGGATTTGATACATGTCATTAGGACTTTAGTTGGTTATATGAAAAAATTAGAAGAATATTATTTTCTTTTTCAGATCCTGTACTTTTCGAAGTTAGGGGGACGTGATATTATCAATAGAACAAATATAATTTTGAGGCGACTAATATTTGATAATTTGGCAGTTAGCTACAATTATTTGGGAACTATACAAGAGAAGAAGGCATTCAAAACTTCATTTCTCAACAAGGTTGTAATAAGTAAGTACTAACAGATCTTTATAGATTCCCAAACAGTTTCAGACCTGTTATTGCTTACAAATTTTCTTTTTTGTATCCGATGTAACATACAAGACTTGGTGTACAACTATATTCAAAAATCCTTTTTCATGTGACAGCTGTATACTGTAAACAAGTAAAAAAATATTAACTTAAAAAAACTAAAATACCGTAAAGAGGGACTACTTTGTTACACTATACAGCCTACTTTGTGACAGTGACATCTATGATTAAATTTTCTATTTTTACCAAGTGGCTAAAGGCGGTAGTATAATTCAAATTTTATATTTCAATAGTGGACTAGGTGCGCCATCTATGCCGTTTCATCAATAGCTCGTAGTACAGCTGTGCTCCTCGTGCCAGAGCCGACTCGATAATCGAGTAAACAGGTGGATTTCGTTTTGTGTGCAAACTTTGTGTTGGTCAGAAAATATACTAAAAGATTTTTCCACCAAGGTAGGTTTATATTAAAATACGAACGTTTTCACGCCTCAGTGTTCTTTTCGAAGTTATTTTTCACTTTGTTTAACACATTTTTTAAAAATTTGTTACAATTAGAGGAGCTACTTTGTGACAATTTTTTGTTTTAACCCCTTGAATGTTTATGAAGTTATTATAGAAACACAAAATGTGTAATTTTTCAGATAATGCCACGAGTGTATAGAAGAAAAATTGGTAGTCGCAATTATAAAAATTATACACAAGAAAAATTAGCAGAAGCACTTCACGAGATAAGGAGTAAACGGATTTCACTACGCCGTGCTGCAGACAAATATAATATCCATCGAAATATACTAAGTGACATATAAATCCGAACACCCAGTTTAAATGGTTTTATTTTAATAAAAGTTGGTGAATGTATTTATCTTACTGTAAATAACAAGTAAAAAAAATTTCAGCCTGATCAGTTGGACATTCCGGTTTTTATACTGCTTTCTTTTTAATTCACTAACGCTCTAAAAATGAATATTTCAGCCGCAGTAAAGAATCAACGTTGGCGGATTGTGGTTCTTGACATCCTTTACGATCGGTTACGATGCCTAGAGTACGGAGACCTGTACGATTTCGTCAACTTAGTGAGTTTGATTGGGGCCGTATAGTGGGACTTCGGGAAGCTGGACTTTCTTTTCGGGCAATTGCAGTTAGAGTGCAAAGAAGTGTAGACACTGTGGTTAGGTGTTGTCAGGCATGGCTTCGAGAAGGCCGTACGCAAAGAGCAAGGGGCACTGGACGCCGCCGTAGAACAACAGACCGTGAAGACCGCCGCCTAAGATTATTGGCCTTAAGGGACCATTTCTCCACTACCAGGTCCATTGCGAATGAATGGTTTGCAGAACACGGAAGACCTATTGGCATTCGAAGTGTTTACCGACGAATGAGAAGTTTTGGCTTGTTTTCATACCGGCCACACTGGGTCCTCCCTTTAACTCGAGAACACCGACGTAATCGCCTTGAGTGGTGCAGACAACGGTCACTCTGGGATCAGGAATGGAACAGTATTGTCTTTAGTGACGAGTCTCGATTTTGTTTAGGCATGCACGATGGTCGTGCCAGGGTTAGAAGGCGACGGGGTGAAAGGAGGAATCCACAGTTTTTTGTTGAAAGACATGTTCATCACACTGTTGGAGTTATGGTTTGGGGTGCTATAGCTTATGGTTCCAGGTCACCTTTAATCTTCATCAGAGGTAACATGAACGCGCAGCGTTATATCCACGAAGTTCTAGAACCCCATCTTTTACCCTATCTTGACACCCTGGCAGATCCAACTTTCCAACAAGATAATGCCCGACCACATGTTGCAAGAGTCACAATAGACTTCTTTCAACATAATGATGTCACATTGTTACCATGGCCACCAAGATCTCCCGAATTATCCCCAATTGAGCACGTGTGGGATATGATGGGTAGGAGATTGCTCAATTTGCAATGTCCTCCTCAGACTCTAGAAGCACTTCGAGAGGAGTTGGTGGTTGCCTGGAATGAGATACCACAGGAGGACATTGACTACCTGATCAGAAACATGCCTAGGCGCGTTGGAGAATGCGTAGCACATCAGGGTGCATCCACACATTATTAAAGGTCAAAGGGCTTTAAAGCAGTGCAATCATTTTGAAATTTTTATCATTTACTTATTATGCTTCATTAAGTACTTATACGAAATTTTATTAAAATAAAACCATTTAAACTGGGTGTTCGGATTTATATGTCACTTAGTATATCTTTTTTATCCTCAGTAGTAGTAAAATGTAATATTGTGTTAACTAAAAACAATATTCAACTTTGATTTTCTACTCTCATTATTTTTTTTGTTAGGCAGTGTCACAAAGTGAAAGGAACTATAAGAAAGTGAGCATCAGTCATTAGACATGTTTGAAAGTAAGTTCAACAAATATTTAATAAAATAAATGCCTCTCAGGTTGTGGCTTGATCTCAACCACAGTCTTGTAGAGTCAGGTAATTCAAATTTTGAAGTAACTGAGGATATTTTGAGAAGAGTGAGACATTTAGAGCAAGATTTTGACAATAGTAATAATATTGAACAAGATCTATGCATCACCTATGTGCGAGGCAGATTCTTCACAGCTATGCGGCTCTAAGGATCCAAGAATACATCAATGCTTAATCTGATGCTCACATAACGAATGTTTCATTCACTAAGATCATATTTAATTAGAAAGCTAATATGCAATGAAATGTATTAAAACATATCTGCAAAAGTTGTATCTATTTTCTTATTTATATATGTATATAAGTTAACATATAATCTTATCAGTATTCATTTATTTTTAAATCTCACATAAAATGTATACGCAGATATGATGGTTTGTATTTAAAGCAATAGGTGAAATGTTGTTGACAAGACATATTTAGAACTAAAATGCTTACAACTTTTGACAAAAAATTAGAATACTCATGTTTTTAAGAAGTTATGATTATTCAGGTAGTTATTTCAAATAAAATTACTATAGTATTAATCCTTCATTTTGTCTGCCCTTACAATTCGGACCACATATATGTTTAAATACTGTATACTGTAAGCATTTCTTCCACCATTTTTAGTACAATAACATTTGAAGGGTTGAGTGGATGAAGGTGGTAAGTAACATTTCGGTTAAAATGAGTTCAGTATGTTTGGTGAAGGCTATAAGCGATATTCTGTCTGGAAAAGTGGTTGTTAACAATAACAGTTATTGTCCACAGTAGGACCAACCTGTTTTCCGGACAGAGTACTACTTCTAGGCTGCGCCAAATATATTGAACTCATTTTTGATCCAAATGTTATTTACCACCTTCATCCAGTTAATCATCACGTGAAATCGTCGTCAGACAGTGACGTCGATTCTATCTCACACTTCGCCCAAATTAACGGACTTTCCATGTCGAAAAGGGGCGTGTAAACCACGTGTATAAATCACGTGGAATCGCTGTCAGAAACTGACGTCGATTCTATCTGACATTTCTCCCACAAATTCAACGGGCTTTCCACGTCGAATAGGGCCGTGAATACTACGTAAAGACGTACGTTCTTTTCACGTGAAGTATACGTGTCCTTGCTGGCTGGGATATCAGGGAGGGCGTGGACTATTGAGTTTGGAGCGTCTGCGGGTAAAGGACCTTAACATCGAATGACTTTGATATTTACCAACCGAGTGATTTGGATATACGTGTTTCTGAAACGTCAATTTACTACAATTTTAGTCATGATATCGCTTTACACCGAAACAACGCGCCGAAATAGCCACAATGTACATTGAAAATAGTGGTGCAGTTGTGTTAACGCAACGTGCATGTCGTTGAAAATATCGTGGCAAAGAGGCACCGTCTGACAAAACTATCCGTCATTTGATTTCGAATTTTCTTGAGTACGGGACAGTGGGCGATCGTCAAAATACCGTTCATCAACGACCAAGACGTTCCAATGAATTGGTTGAAGCGGTCAGAGACAGCGTTGCCCAGAATCCAAAAGTGTCGTGCCGTCACCGCGATCAGCATTTTGGCATCAGTGGAACCACGTTACGGTGCATTTTGAAGGATGATTTGCATTTTTTTCCTTATAAGGTGCAGTTAACATAAAAAATATTGCCAACTGACCGACCACGTCGCGTGGAATACGCCCAAACAGGCGCTCGCATGGTTGATGCTGAACCTGATTTTTGGAAGCAAATTGTGATGACCGACGAGGCCCATTTCACGCTCTCTGGCGGCGTTAATAAGCAAAACTGCCGCATTTGGGGGACGGAAAATCTACATGAGATCCACGAAATGCCGTTGCATGACCGGAAAGTGACTGTTTGGGCCGGCGTTTGCGCCAAAACCTTCATTTTGCCATTTTTCGTCAACGAAAACGAAACAGTCGATGGAAATCGATATTGGTGGATGTAGGCTCATTATGTCTGCCTACAAATTCGTGAAAAGGGTCTTGATGGTTACTGGTTTCAACAAGACGGTGCGCCATGCCACACTGCAAATGAAACAATCCAGTTTCTGCAACGAAAATTCCCTGGGGGTCTGATGTCAAAAAGATTGACTGGCCACCCAGGTCTCCAGATTTGACCCCACTGGACTTCTTCTTATGGGGTTATTTGAAAAGTCAAGTGTGCGCCAGCAAGTCCTAGACCACTGAAGAACTCAAGGTAAACATTCGTGCCGCAATCGCCTCTATACCACCAGAGATGCTCGAAAAAGTAATGGAAAACGCAGCAAAACGGGCACATTTTGTTCTGGCCAATAAAGGTGGCCACTTGATAGATGTTGTGTTCTAAAACTAGTCCCAATAAATTGTAAAGGACCATATTTAATAAAAATACCGATATACAGAAATCAGTTTTTGGTTTTCAAAGTTATTTCATGTTTACATACCGACATAAAAGATGGCGCACCCTGTAAATTCATCATATGCTAATAATTTGAAGGTTTGTGGAATTTCGTTTTAATGAATAACGGCGTTGTATGTGAAGCAATTGAGGGAAGAATGATGTCTTGTGAAGAGCCATTGTAAGAGTCTCCGTGGAACGAATATTCTTTGAATGAATATGGTTTCTAGATTTTAGTCTATTTTTCAGGAATGGAGGTACGGATGTAACTAATAGTTTGTGAGTCTAAACAATTTTAAGCGTAGTTCATACAGCTCTTGTATGCTCAACAATTTAAAAACTTAATTCAGAAGTTTGAATTATTTTACAGTACAGAGTTCGTTGAGGTTCACACATTGGATTTTAAACCGTTCTTATTATAATCTCCATAAAGTTAAGACTTGTACTACAAGTGTAAAGTTTCATGTGCTCTTGACTTTACCTACAATGCATAATTTTCCCATTTTCCGTATTAACTTGACCCTCCCCCTTCCTCGACCATCAGCTGTCGACGCTCTTGCGATGAAGGTTCACGAAAATTTATCGCGGTACAAGAAATTTTCGCTATTTTAAAAACTCAATTACACCGCTCCGATAAATATTTAACCTGGCATTGTGTCATCGAAATACGTGAGGTTTTACTAGTTTTTAACATATTCGAATACGCGATCTAACAAAAAATTTGCCAGAGAGGGGCTATGAAAGTTATTCGAGGTCTAAAAAGAATACCACCTGTCAGCGTTCATGGGCCAGGATATTCTTAGATATCGGAGACCTTTCCTCAAATCCATTTGCACTAGATTCATCATATGTACAGTATTCAGGTCACTAATTTTTGAGCGCGATAGAATAGAACGCTTCATGGGAAACCCTTTCCGACCATACAAGTTTGTGAATGTATCCATTTTCGACAAAGTATTATGTTCCTAGGTTCTTCATATCAATGAATGTTCCATCACACGGTTTTGTCTCCCGAGAATGACCTTGGGAACGACTATTCTATCAATGTTCAGTAATTCTGTTCCCCGGAAGAACCACTCATTTCAACCAGATCTTTTGAGGTTAATCCCTTGAACTGATCTATGACAATTAGGCGAACTTGCATATATTTTGTCATTCAAGAAAAGAAAACAGAACAGATGGGTATATTTTTTCGTTCCAGCCAGTAGTCCAAATAAATCTTCAAAACTCATCGATTCCTTTGACCACAACCTCTTAAGCTAGGATAGACAAATGTTGCAAAAGTTCTATTAATCCAAGAAAGCATAACAAAGCAGACATGCACAGTTGTTCCAGTAGTTTTATGCATTATCTAAAACAAATCATTTCAGTTGAGCACAAGCTTTTTCAAAGGAACTCCCTTGACTAATCCATATCAATTAGACAAATTCCGCAAAAATGCCATAAACCAAGAAAACAAAACAAAATAGACAGGCATGTTTGCTCATACAAAGTTTACTTGTGTAAGTATCACACCAACTGTATGGAGGCTATGCTAAATATTTGCATAAACCGTTGTTGGGGATTTTGTTATAAATCAACGAGATTATTTGCGAGTCAGAAAAAAATCTACCGGTGAAATACTATGCGTGGCCTCAATGACTAATATCTTTGCAAACTGCTTCTACTTTATAACAAAAATGTAGAGTCACTGGGGAAAACCTCCACGTTTACGCTATGTTAGAGACACACTAAAGCCGCGTACAGACCTAAAATCCAACGCCGAGCAAACGAATGTTTTGGAAGGCACCCTTCTACACCTGAATTTAGTTTCCAGCTCTCCTCTCATCGAATACAGACAAACGACTAAATACCAGAAGCGCAAAAAATGCTGACCAGACCAAATCAAACCTCCCTTGATGTACCGATCAAGGAGCGAATGCAAGCGAGCGCCAACGCCGACCTTGGAAACCGTTAGCTCATGCTGGCTCGCGCCGTACGTCACACCGATCCGAACACCTCCAAATCTGTAATCACATGTGCCATGGCTTGCGTTGGAATCTCGGCCTGTACGCGGTTTAAAACTATCAGACAGTTGGAAACATTAATGCTTAAATATCACAGCGCCATTAGTATTAGCATCATTACCTAATCAGTATACTGGTAACGGTCAGATCATGCGGGAAAAACTGGAATGATACCCGATTATACGAAAATCCGGGTTTTTTCATATCAGCAGGGAGGTTAACCGGCGATTTTGGTTCAAATCTTGCCCATCATCCGGACAGACTTTGTTCAAAAGCAGTAGACGGCGAAATATTACATTTAAGAAAAGTTGCCCGACTGGGCACCCTGGCAGAGTGCGAGAGAATAAATGGACACACGCTGTATCCCGTGAACCACTTGACGTATAACTACCCGATTAAAATACTTGTGACAAAATTGGCGACGAAAAATGCCTGTAAACTAGTTTCTTTTTTGTAAGATGGCCGATATCTTCAAAAATAATTTTTCGCTTTAACAGTGGCGTGCGTACG